TTTCATTAACTATTTATAACCAGATTAACTATTTATATAATCAGATCTTTCGTTCATGGTCACAAGTGACGGGAGAGTTTCAAACTTTTTGGTCTATTATTGACCCGGAAAGTTTATGAACCGGGTGCAGACTCACGATATGTCAGATCATAGATATTAGAGTTTACATCTATATATCTATGGTCAGATCAGATATGTCTCAATCTCATGATGAATAAAATTCAGTAGATTTTTCTCATTACTTACAGTGATCACGATGTCAGGGTATTGTACGAAAGTGCTGTGTGAGTTTTGAGTCAAGAGTTTGTAGAGAAGCAATGAAAGCTCTAGTTAGTAGACCATATGTACATATACTTGTATAGATAATGCACTCTCCTGATTCTTATTTTCCTATACAATAATACATGTGCTTGACCTACTTATGCATATTTATATTTTGCTAATTGTTCTTCCTCAAGTATACTGGTATAATTTTACCTGTACGTGTAGTACAAATGATGGAAGATGGTGTATCCTTTTTTGCATCTATGTCATAATAAGGCGACTGAGTTAGAAAGATGATTAATCTTGCAACTGTCACAATCTTCAATGTTTTATTTGCAGTCCAACTAATGCACATCTTGCCTCATGAATAATTTGTGTGTAGAGTTGTAACTTACTTACTTTTTAACTTCTATGTACAATGTTATTTTGCTATAAAACTTGGTTAATACAAGGTAGTGCTGTTTATCAATATTTAGAAAAAATTTTATTAATAAAATCTCAAAAGAAACTTGGTATTAAATCAGTCTAACTAGAAAAATCTTAAGGAAAACTTTTAATTAGGCAATGGAATCATAGTGGGCCATTTTCGTTTTTGCAAATGTATGGAATCAGTAGACAGCTGTACCTCACCTACTATTATTGGTGATCTTATTTATCAAAATATCAATTGTGTCTGTGCTTGTATGTGTGCTCTAGCAAAAATCAAAGAAGTCAGCCATACAACTACAAAATTGGGTTGTATTTAAATGGTTTTATAGTTATAATATACATGTATGAATGAATATATATGTAGCACACAATATTATTTTCAGCAGAGATGGTGTACCATCATGCATAAAGCAGTTCATGAAGATTATCTTAGTCTGCTGTGGCAGTCCACTGCACTGATCAGATGAGATGAACTCCAACCGTGCAGTGCAAGTGCATTTCTCAAAAGAATGAGGTGATGAGACTCCAAAATAATTATATATTATTTCTAGAAAATAAAGGAATGAAATTTGCAAGAACTAGCTCGAGCAGTCAGTAATGCTGTGACAAGTCATTATTATCAGTAAATTAATTATCATACACCATAATCATGTATAAAAATAATGAAGATATTTAGGCACATTAACAACTGTTTTATAATGCTTTTGAGTCAGATAATACTGAATATAAGTATTTAGTGACATATCATTCCAAATAGTACACTTTTTACTACCAATTCCTTTATCAAGGACACTGAACTTTTTTTGGACAAAATAGTGAGCCAAGTGCGTTCTTGCAACACTATGCACTCATAAAGGACATCAGATTGTGGCAAATTTTATACTCTACCATGCTATATTGTTTATTGTTCATGGTGAATTTTTTCAAAATGTGAAAATCGCAAAATTTAATCCCCGCAAAATATATGGCGTATACGGTATGATGTATCTGTATGTAAGTTATACATTGTGTTAACATTTTATGCGTATTGCATTGGTTTGGATAATACACATACACATACATATGGTTTCCACAGGATTTTGGCTTAGTGCCCACTTTCTTGGTCAGCAAATGCTGAATAATTTGGCCAAAAAATAAAATGATGGAATTCTGCTTTGTATAATTTTTCCTAATATTTACGTATGTTCTGTAAAAGTTCTAGGTAATTTTGATCAAATTTGTTTATAATTTTTTTAAATTAATTTTGTCCAAACATTGGGCCAAAATCCTTGTACTATATGCAGTAGGCTAGTAGCTACATGTACATGGTCTTGGGCCTAATTTTTACTAAAACTAGAAATGAGAGACTTCTTTATTTTGATGATTTTGTTCTTGTAATATACATGTACAATGTACATGTACTTATATTGTGTATCTAGAGAGTTTGAGCTGGTTTCAGTCAAAACTGAATGAGAGTAAATTTTGTGAACCTCTGGATACAGGTCATTGGCGAAAATCATTATCCTAAAAAAATCACTATGCATTTGCCTCCTCCCTTCCAATTTTTTGGCCAAAAGTATAAAAATGATAGAATTCTGCTTTTCATAATTTTTCCTAATACATATAAATTTACTGGTGTTTTGTAGAAGTTTTAGGTAATTCTTTTTGGATTTTTTTATAAATTTTTTAATTTGATCCAAAATCAGGCCAAAATCTATGTACTACATGTGTACTTCACGTATGGTTTGTAGTACACATAACTACATGGTCTTTGGCCAAATTTATTTCAAAAACTGAAAACTGATTTTCTATGATAAATTGTTCCAAAAGCCGTAATGGTGTAGGTACATGTGTCAGCACATACGCATGCTTTGTAGGTCACTTAGCACAATTTGTAGGAAGCCCTGTGTGTATTTTACTTGAACAAAACTACATTGTGTATCTTATAATAATAATATAACATGTATCCTACATTTCCCATCTTCTCTTTATGCCCTCTCTCTTTTTTGTTGTAATTTTCCTTTTTCTTCTGTCTCATATCTCAAAAAAAATTATTGTGTAGTGGGTTTTTTGAGAAAAATTAATTTGCAAATTGTTCGGATTTTTTAGATTTGCAAAATTAAATTCCTTGAAAATTGATTTAATATAGTACAATCGTGGAATTTTGCAAAAATTAATTTTGTGAACCTCTGGATACAGGTCATTCATAAAAATCATTATTGTAAAGAACCACTATACTGTATTTGTCTCCTCCCTTTGTCTGTCCCTCTTGTAGTGCCATAAATTATTTAAAGGATCCTAGTGCTACTCTATGATTAAAAGATGATGCATTTATAAAGACATGTGGTATGTTAACTGATGGATCCCTTCAAATAAACTGTTTCTTCAATTCTCTCCTCATGCAGGCAGTTCACTAACATCAGTGAAAGATTTCTAATTCAGACTTTGGACACGAAACTATTGTCATACCTTTATTATGTTAAGAGTGATCATCATAGAGCCTGTAAGCTCCACACCGATGGTCCTGTGGCACTGGTCAATGGTAATGTAGGATCTTTCTAAAATGAAGCTAAGTTCAAGGCATGTTTTGTTAATTACTTTCTGCATGCCTACTATGCTTATGTATAATATACTATCTACACCTACTATTTTTTAAACACACGTGCATTTACCCATATCAGATACCCACATGTACCTTTATCTCTCCCTCTACTTTTTTCCCTCATTTCCCTATCAATACCAAATGTACTTCTACCATGCCTAGTTGCAATTGACCAATCAGATTGCTTGATTTTAGGTTCATAAATAACTTATTTACCACTGGGAGGTTTGATAAGTAATTTCCTAGGTAATAGGAGGCTTGATAAGTAATTTCTTGGACAGTCAGAGGTTAATAAGTGGCCCGGGAGGTAAAGTTTGACCGGGAGGTTTATAAGTTCGCCTCGGGAAATTACTTGTTAACCTCCTGCTTAAAATAATCATGCTGTTGCTAAGTGTTGCTAAGAAACTAGTTGTTCATTTCACATCTATAAAATCAAATGCATTATCACTATTGTTTTACTATATTTGAATTGTCTGACTCTGTAATTATCTTCCTCCTATTGATTTGTCTACCTCTTTCCAATGCATTAAATCCTTACTCTTTTACACTTCATGGAACCAATTTTTGATAGTTTTAATTCACATAGTTCATCATGTGCACTTTTCACTTTCTCTGTCCTTGTTCATGTTGTTCCTCCTGTTTTTCTTAATTTCTTTCTCTGCTATATTATTTTATTATCTATTTAATTGATTTATTGTATGGCACATGGTGTTAGTCTCTCAACACTCTCTGTTCTAGTGTCTCACACATGACACATCATTTTGTTTTGTGTCACTGTGATGTAAAGTTATTACTATGACGAGCCTTGGCCCAGCCTCTCCTTTTCTTTGCTCCACTAAGTCAATGGCATGATTAGCATTCAGCCTAGTCAGTCAGGCATGACCGTATGGCATCTAGATCCACTCTCTGTTCATTTTCTTCTGTCTTCATTTCGCAGTTGGCAATAGGTTATTATTATTATTGTTATTATTATTATTATTGTGGTAATGAACTCTGTGTATTACCAGATCAACTGATTGATATTGTTAATTTGTTAAAGAAATGTGGCTTCCCTCAGACAAGATGGCATGAGCTGGGACTGACACTAGGGCTTCTCTTAGATACACTCAACACTATTGCAGAAAACTACTCAAAAGTGGAAGATCGTTTTATTGAATGCATTGCCAGATGGTTGCGTAGAGCCGATAATGTTGACAGTAAAGGAGGAGCTACCTTTGGCTCACTATCAGATGCTCTTAAATCTATGAATGAAAATGCTGTAGCTGAAAAGTTAGATCAAGAGAGTAAGTTAATATCATTGATTGTATTAGTATTGTTTGTTTTGTAGGGCGTAATACAGTACTGGCTACAGATATATTTAAGACTCATCGTCTATGCCTCTCTCGGTCTCTCTCTGATCCTGTCAGTGTAGCTATTATGCTTCAAAGAGAGGGTGTCATAACAGGACAAGTATTGGCTAGTGTGGAGTCAGCCAGTCCCTCTGTTTCTAATCAACGTGAAGTCCTGTTAGCTGCCATTATAGTAGCCATTAACAGGAAGTATAGCTTACTACAAACATTCGCTAGTGTGTTGTGCAAGTTCACTGGCAATGTGAAACTAGGAACAGTTATACAAAGAGACTATGGTGAGTCAATTACATTTCACATTACATGAAACAATGATGCTTATACTTTGTTTTTAGACAAATTTTTCAATGACGATACGAAGCTTATTAAGGTTGTTATTCCTGAGGATGATATGATCACTGATACATTAAGTACTGGAACAATTACACCATCACCTACTGCACCTCATGCACCAACTGGTAAAAATTAACAATACTTTGTGTTTTGTTGTTTATTTTATTAGTTGAGATTGCCATTCCTCAATGCATGAGTAATGAATTCACTTCAATACAAATGTCTTATGGTCGAATGTTGTACAATGTTCGCAAAATAATCAAGAACAAGCCACCGCCATTGGAGGACATCAAAGAGTATCTTTGTTGCTGTAGGAGTAGTTATGAACCAAAGCTATCTCTGTGTTCCAATATCACTGAAATTTTACAAGTAGTAGAGAAAGAGTCTTCATTGATTAATATTGAGCTACTTCAATCATTGGTCGAAGAATTCAAAATAAAAAAAGCTAACAAATACATCAAAGAATATAAAGGCATATTAAAAGAGTTTTGTCATATGGTAAAGATTACGCTTTGCTTGAATGAGAAGTTTGAAGCATTAGGAGGTAGTCCTTCTCTTCAATGTGAAACAGTTACATATGTCTTTGACTGGGAACCAGATGAGCACATGCTACAAGATATCAAGCAAATCATTTCCAAGACATCTGGTAAACTAGTGAAAATAAAATATATCAAGAAAGGAAACTCCATCATTGTCACTTGCTCCTTCCCTCACTCTCTTATTGGAGCTCTCATTATAAAATTGAGTGAAAATCTTGAATTATTAATAAAGAATGGTCTAATGAAGCTCACTGTAGGTTACAGTACAATATGGGACAAACAAAAAATACACGTATGTATATCTCTATAATATTACATCATATTATAATGATATACAGGAACCACTGGAACAGCAGGTACAAGGGATAACAGAGCAACCTCAAGTTAAAAAGGTATAAGGATATTTTAAAATTTTTATTAAACTAACTTCTAGAAAGAGAGAGTAGCAAGACTTGAACAGAAAAAAACAGAAGAAGGAAGACCTCGATCAATAGTCATTAATCAAGGCATGGATCAAGGTATAATTAATTTATTACCTGCAATATTACATAATGAACAATTATTTTACATTTTCAGATGGACTGACTCTTGATACATTTCTGACAATAATCAATGCACGATTAGTAATCAAAAGAAGAACAAACAAACAATTGAAATTATCAGTAAGAGGTAAACAAGTAGATTTTACTAATTATTATAATGGAAAATGCACTAGAATTGAGAGTAATGGAAGTTCTGCAGAATCTGTCACCTACACAAAATTTGAGTTCAGGTTAGGATTATTATCACTTTAATGTATAGTTGCAGCAAAGATCAAAGGCCTAACAGTTGTAATAAAACCCACAGAACACTCCCACCAATACCGCAGTGTGATATTATAAATAGCACACTCATTTATTTAATGTGCGGCAGTGTGATATCAGTGATAGCAGAGCACGTGCAATCTTTGCTGGAACTATACACTAAAACAATTAATACATGTGGCGTCGTGTGCTATCTGATTTATCCGCACTCACTTCCGGTCTCGTTGCTAAAATAGCGCACTCGGCCTTCGGCCTTGTGCGCTATTTTTAGCGACTCGACCGGAAGCTCGTGCAGATAAATCAGATAGAACACGCCGCCCCATGTATTAACTATTACTTATCATCATTTTTTGTTATTTATAGCATCATGCAGAATCATAAGAGGAATGAGAATGGAAATAGAGCAACTGCAATTATTATTAACAAATAAAACTGGTACTGAATCATAATGTATGTGTTCTAGTGCATTATAATTATTCTATATTATAGGTTTACTGGATCAGAATGAGCCCTTCACAGATATTAAGAGGGAAATAGCTGAACTACAGGAACAGATATCATTAATGAGTGTACATATACTAAATAAAGGAGAGGAAAATGAAAGTCATAAACATGTTATTGCAGGTATAATATGATTATATATTTTGATAATAATCATAGTGTACTGCAGAATGTATAAAACTGACTGCAACCCTTACATACACTGAAAGTGATGAAGAGACAGATGAAGATGATTATAAACTGACCAATGACGCAATTTTTATTGCTTGTTGTGGATATTATGCCATAGGGGGTGATGAAATATCATTCAGTAAAGGAGAGCAGCTAGAGATATGTAACAAGTTGAGTACATATTATTGGGAAGGAAGGTCCTTGGTATCTGGTGATGAGGGAGTGATTCCTAGTAGTTGTGTTCACTCAATATTTGAGTCACTTCATTTGTTAGAGTTTATACTGTCAGTGGAAGAAGTGTCCCTTCCTATTCTGCAGAAGATAAAGAATGATGCGTCTAGTAATGATGAGAAAGTTTCTCTTTTCTTGGAAATTATCAATGATGATCCTATTATGATTCCTGCCTTGAGACAAGACTGGGAACAGCATGAGGAAGGTAGGATTGGCTATTTTATTTGGTCACTAATTCAGTAGCATGCACACATGTAAAATGCACAAATAGAGGAGAATGGAACCGAACTAACTGATTTTTATGCACCATTACATGTAACTGGTGATAATTTAGCAAGATGTGAGTTTGTATACACATAATACATTGTATAAATATGTGAGGTACGGTATATCTGGTACTTCGTACTCTGACCTTAATTTTGCAAAATGAAAACTTGGCAAAAATAATATCACACATAAAGTTAAATGCAACTCTTAATCACACAAACTGTTTAGATGCATAAATTTTCAAAAAGGAAAAATTTTTGGATCATGTACATACATAGACAATGCATGTACATGAACTAATTCACATATTCAGATATAATCCTTTGGCTTTGTATAATTTGATGGTTTGTATTAGGAGCCACAGTTGGGAGAGTAGAATGGCTCAGTGATGCTGTATACCTTGTTTCTCCATCTCAAGTTCAGTGTCATGAAGTGATTAGCAATATTAATGATAGTAATTCAGAGTTTGATCTCAACTACTCATCTACTAATAGTGCTTTATCTCTACTGTCATCTACTAAACTTTATTCACTAAACCTAAGGAGACTTGGGATATGGTACACTCCATTGCCTAACGATTGTATCCAATACTTGTGTATGCTACTAAACAATAATGAAACAATTCAAGAACTAGTCATCAGATCCCACTCCATTAGTGATAGAGGAGTTACTAATATCTGTGAAGCACTTAAAGACAACTCTACACTTACCTCATTAGATCTTCATGATAATCCTCTCATTACTTCTACAAGTGGACAAGCTCTTGCTCACCTCCTCCTCAACAACTCATCTCTAGCTGAGCTGGATCTACGGAACACTTCATTGTCTACTGACTCATTATTACTACACATTCTCCATTCACTACTAAATAATCAAACAAGAATTAAGCTAGACAAGCGGCACAGAGACACTTGTATAAATACTTATCCTAATTATCACCTCATAAGAGCTAGAATAGACTGGGCCTAATCACAACTTATTATTATTATAATAATCTCTTGATACAAAGAATATTACATCAGCCTCGGTAACCTGAATTCACTCTTTTCTCTCCTGCAGTAGTTATTGCAAGTTTTTTTCTCTATTTATTTATATTTCTGACTCAATGTTACTTTTACCTTAAATGATTACTTTTTTTCAAATTGCCTACCTCATGTCAGCCTTGTTTTTGTTCTCAATATTATTTTTCTCATAAAGTGGTGAAGGCAACAATAAAAAAACTTAGTGAGAAAATAAAAGCAGAACAAAATCATTTACAAGTATAACCAGACTAGCGTCTAGCTTTTTTAGGGATGCCTCCATATATAGCTCATGGTTTATGTACATAAGTATGCAGCACACCACAACCAAGTATACAGCAGTCAATGGTGTGTACTTCCTATTTATGCAACATGTTGCTTGCTCCATTGATTTATCAGTGTTGCATGCAAGTTGTATAGTAAATTGTCGGGCTTATGACTTATATGTATCAAACCTGATCTGCATCAAATTGCTTGCTTCATTACTCACTTTCATCTAGTCTGCCCTGGCAAAACACTGGTATAAGGCTAGCATGATACAAGTCACAGTGAGAATTCAGACACCTAATAACAAGTTGGAGGATGGATGTAAACAGTAAATATCCTTAAAAAATTTTTCAGCTGTACTAAATAAAATGGATAATTATAGACAACATTATCTAGCTAGCACATTAGAATTGTGTCAGTTACATTATCAAAGAGCTTAAGCACAAGGCCAAGCCCTTCATTAAACAGTCAATTACAAGCCCAAGCCCAATTATTACAAAAATTTCTTTTGGGCTCAATTACAAGCTTAAGCTCTTTATCAAATGTATTCAATTCCTTTACAAGCCTTTCACTTAAATGATTAATAAATTACAGGTACATGTAGTTTTGCTGCCATTTTCAGTTTTAGTAATGTGCTCACTGAATACCAGGGCATGGACTACTTTAATTGTCCACACATACACATACTATCTATTGTGTAATATTACTGAAAACGAAGGGATCACTACAGATAAAAAAAACCTATAAGCCCAAGCCTAGGCTCTTTTTTTCTAAAAAGGCTTTAAAGCACTTTCAATTACTGCAAAATCTGGGCTTAAGCCCAAAAGGGTTTGACACATCTCAGAAGCACATCATAAGTTTCACTGTGACATATGCTCATAAACTTTAGTATCAAGTGATGCTTGACATTCTGTTTCATTTTCTTTGCTTAGTTTAGTCTTGTGAAGTTCATATGGTTCACATAGTCTATTTGCATTGCAATATTCTCAGTTCTATAACATCATGAAATGTGTGTATAGACATTAGTAAAATATATAAATGTCAAATGAATGCTAACTTTGTTTGTTTAGTATTAAAAGGATGTTTTGTTCTAAAACACAATAGTGCTTTTCATAGAAATTGTATACAATACCTTATAGCAGTAGATATTACTAATAAGACTGATGGTTAGTAAAATTAAAAATACATCTATGGACACACCAACAGCAGTAGCAACATGATCTGATGCAGTGATTGATGGGATTACTGAGACTGGAATAGCACTACTGATTGACATACATTCACATAAAAGAAGTTGCATTTGTATCTAAAAAAGAAAATATAAAATCAAGTATTGCTATACATACCAATTTCATTTGCAATAGGATCGCTGAAGGGCCTCTTCCAATAGAATTTACTGCAGTAACAACGATATTATAAAAAGTAGGAATTACTGAATCATTTAATATAATATATTGCTCAGTGGTGGGTTGGTATGTGACACTATTCAGTATAGTATATTTAATAATTCTGCCATTTAGCTTGGAACAATGGACCTCATTCCACTCTATCCTGTTACTTTTTGAGTTAAGTACCGTAATAGGAATGTTGGTGACCCTACAGGAACTAATAAAGTAGAAATAGCCATTAACTTTTGTAAGCTGTAATTAAAATACTTGTTGGTTCACTGTGATGGTATAGTTCATACCACTGTACAGACCTATTAAAGTACAGCTGTATGTTGTAGTGGACTGATGAGGAGCAACAAAGACTGTCTCATTCACTGATGATAATTTGGGACATGCAAGATGGAGTATAGGAGATGGTGTAGTATGATGCATAGTTGTCACTACTAGGAATAGTCCAGTTCACTGTAATGCCAGTAGTTGAAATATTAGATACTGAGAGAGTAGTTACTGGGCTCAGAACTATCATTAGGAGAGATATCATGCAGGTGCGCTATATCAATAGTAATTTACTATCAAATTTTAACACTGTACAATGCTATTAACTAAAGGAAGATTTATATTTGAATACACATTGATGACAAAAATAACTGATTGACGAGATTTTAGTACAATTTCATTTTCACTGGTGGATGCTACATTCCTGGTTACACCACCAGTAGTATACTCAATCATATATCCATTAGTTTCAAATAAAGTAGTCCAGTTCACTTTCATACTAGTAGCATTTAATAAAAACCCTCTCAAATTCTTAGGAGCTGGGAAAGAGAAGGACAACAATCTATTACCATTAATTTACAATCATACCAAGTAATATCACAGATTGACTGTAGTTGAATCCTCCAAACAATGCTAGTCTAGTTTATGTGTCATTATTATATTAACTGATCAATTACTGCATATAATGAATAGCCTTAACAGCTGCATCTGTTTCTATGGCTCGTTATGGATATTATTCAATGGAGAGTAACGAAATATCATTCAGTGAGGGAGAGCACCTGGGGATATTAGAGAAGGAGAGTAGTTTTTGGTGGAAAGGAATATCCTTGGTGTCTTATGATAAGGGATACATTCCTAGTAGTTGTGTTTACTCATTGTTGGAGTCACTTCAATTGTTAGAGTTTATACTGTCAGTGGAAGAAGTGTCCCTTCCTATTTTACAGAAAATTAGAAATGATTCATTTAGTAATGACGAGAAAGCTTCTCTTTTCTTGGAGATTATTAATGATGATCATATTATGATACCTGCACTGAGACAAGACAAAGAACAACATGATAATGGTAATAATTGTTTATTGTCAAAGTCTGTCTTGTTATGTACATTCATAGCACAGTAACAAGTTGTGCATTCGTCCAATACAAACTACATGTATGCAATGTACATGTACTATACTTGACATGTAATGTCATTGTCATGTGTTCTCTGTGCATTCATATTAGTACATTAGTAGGGATGCTAATAATTGCTTATAAATTTTAGTTAAAATTTACTCTGTATCAGGGATGGGGCAAAGTACATTGGTACTTGTACTTAAGTACAGTCTTCAGAGTACTTGTACTGTACTTAAGTCCTTTATACATTAACTGCCTGTACTTGTACTTATACTTAAGTACTTAACATAGTACTTATTGGTACTTCAGTACTTAAAAGTACTTTGAAGTACTTTCAAGTACTATAAGTACAATAGCATAATAGTACTGTAAAAACTGTGACACTTGCTACTGTTAAACTGTCACTGCTGAGTAATGGTGTTTGTGGTAATGTGAGAACTCATTATTGTAACTATATTAAGCTTTGAGTGACTGTTATGTCATAGCCCAAAAAAGCCAAATCCTTCTTTAGTTTCATGCCATCAGAGTCTTCTGCAGTTGTGATAGCTGGTTCAGATACTATATCTACTAATGTAGATGCTTATTTGGAAGCACCAGCCCAACCCATTAAAACTAATCCGCTAATGTTTTGGGATAATAATTCAAAAAAATACCTGTTATTGGCAATGCTAGCTAAAGAAATTCTATCTGTACCATCTTCATCTTCTCCAGTTGAGAGACTTTTTAGCATTGCTGGAAAGATATTTAGACCAGAAAGATGTAACTTACGTGACAACAAATTTCAACAATTAATGTTTATTTGTTGCAACAACACACACATAAATTTCTTCAATCAAATAATACTTCACAATTTATTTTACTGTAATCTTTATAGTACTTCACCTGTACTTAAGTACATTTTATTGTACTTGTAAATGTACTTAAGTACTTTTGCTAAAAAGCGTATGTACTTGTATTTGTACTTAAGTACCACTGCAAAGTACTTGTACTTTACTTAAGTACTTCTAAATGTACTTCGCCCCATCCCTGCTCTGTATACACTTAATACTATTACAAAACACACATTCACATAATACTGTCGTCAGTGACAACTACTAGCTGTGTCTACATGTATTTGTTCATGCAAGTTATGTGTTTGTATACACATGATGTAAAGATGCATATGAATAATGTATATGTAATCCTTTGCTTTATATTAGGAGTTACTGGGAGAGTGAACTGGGACAGTGACTGGGTATTCCTTGATTCTCCATCTCCAGTTCAGTGTAATGAAGCATTTGATAATAATCATGAGGAGATTAAGCTTAGCTTCTCATCCACATGTACTAATAGTACAGTATCTCTATTATCATCAACTAAACTTCATACACTACACCTGAGGAGACTTGAGATATGGCGCACTCCATTAACTAATGATTGTATCCAGTACTTGTGTACTCTACTAACTAATAATGAAACAATACAAGAACTAGTCATCAATGGCCACTCTATTAGTGATAGAGGAGTTATTTATGTCTGTCAAGCACTTGAACACAACTCTACACTTACCTTATTAGATCTTTATCGCAATCCTCTTATTACTTCTGCTAGTGAACAAGCTCTTTCTCACCTCCTCTTCAATAACTCATCACTAGTTAAACTGGATCTATGGAGGACTTCATTGTCATCTCACTCAATACTATGTATTCTACAGTCTTTATCAAACAATAATAAGAATTTAACAACACTCACACTAGACAAGCAACATGAGAAGACCTGTATTAATACTATTCCTAGCTATCACCTCATACAAGACAGAGTCCGTTGGTGGTAACTATATAATCACTCTTAATGTGAACTTATTTATAATATTTTCTTGATACAATAATTAGAGCTATTATGCCAAGACAGTTCATCTTCACCAATAAGCAGCCAATCAGAATACATACACTACTTTACATGATAAAAGGTGGACCAGTGACACATTGTATTATCAATAATCTAACCCATGAACATTTCTTGCTGATCTCTCATCAATCTCTCTCTCTCCTTTACCAGGATACTGTAAATTCCTTCTTTTACTGACACACACTCATCTCTCTTTGTTGTCATCATTTCATTCTATTTCCCTCTCCTTTATTTCTACCTCTTTCTCAGCCTTTAATAACTTTTCTCAAGCTGACCTTCCTCCATTTCATGTCAGCAATTAAGTCAGCCTTGTTTCTGGCATTGTTAAAATATACATGTCCATATGTATCTGTCAAAGAGCTTGCAAAAAACGCATTTGAAAAAAGATAATAAAAACACATCTCAGTTTTAAAAATTTTAATATTTTTATATAGTTCAACCAGTAGGTGAAGTCAATATCTTGGTAAAAGGGTGTAGCTTATGATGTAATAATGGACTGTTCTGATGTGATGATGGAACAGATACAGAGCTTTGCAGGTTGCTTGACC